CATGAAGCTTTGTCTCATGCCCTGGAGTCACTGCAGGCGAACCTCCATGGCCACAAGGGCTGAGTGGTGCCAAGATTTGAACATGGGTCAATAGGTTATCCACCATATCTTCCACATGTCTTACCAAGTCATCGCAACCCAAGTGGTTAAGTAGAGAAGTTTTGTTTATCAAATGGAGGGATCTTGTTGCAGACAGTTAATTTTGGAGTGAGGAAGGTCGACATCATTACTTGAGTGTACCACAAACCCACTCTGATACCAATTGAAGGTTTGTATTGATCAGATACACTTCAAGTATAATTACGAAAGAAAAACTTAATCTAAGAAAATAAAGAACAGAAATTAAATGACACAGAGACTTCTCCAAATTATTTCTTTCACCAAGAAAGAGGTTTTGTCATCACCAAGAAGATGGTTGTCACAAAGATGATTGACACAAAGCCGAACTCTCTCACACACGAACATTAAGTTTTACCCTAATGTTGTATATAAACTAATCTATACAAATATATCCCTTGATTATAGGGATTGCGTCTAATCTATACTAAGAACCAATCTTATCACAAAGATATCGGATCTGTAATCTATTCTATACTTATCTATATCATTTCCTAATATACAATAGACTACATAGAATGATTAAGCCATGCGCTGACGCTGATAAGCTTGATACGCTGGCGATGTCGATGTTGTAGACATTAACGTTGATCGATAGTGTAGAGTGTTTGACTCATCAGATCATAAGGTGTGACCTTACAACACCTTCAATAAGTATCACACCACGTTGTGGGCATCTAAGCCCCATGCGGTGGCTCAGGGTTGCTCCAAAAAATCCTTATTTGATTCCTTAAATCTTGGCCCACCGTCTTCGGAAAATAGGATGTTACAATTCTTCCTCAATTAAATTAGATTTCCTCCTTGAAATCAGTTCTTGGAGTCTCCTCTCAAACACCCTCTAAACCCCTCGTGGTTTCTTCAAACCTGACTTCCTTGACACGAGCTGATATTGTTTGCATACTGGAAACTTCAAACATCAACAAGACAGGTTTCATGCCTAGGCTAATGAGCCAATTCGAACAGAGACATGAATGGTCTAAATCATAAATACCACGACATTCCTTTATAGTCTAACACCTCTGCAGATTTAAAGAGAAACAAATAACCTGACGGAAACCCATTCCACGAATGAAGAATTCCCTCCCTACACATGACCTGCAGATCCCAAAATCATGCACAACCCCCAAGCAACTGAGATATCCGAAAATCTGTAGATTTAATCGGCCCAAGAGCTTCTCGGCCAAACGTCGTCATGCTAATCCTGCACAAAAGTGCACCACCGCAATGAAAACTCATTGGTCACATATTGAACTAGACCACACTCCTACTCGGCTCCGATAACCCAACTAAGCTACTCCTTATCAACACTCAGTATCACCCCTGATCCACTAACCAATAACAGCACTCGGGCTTACCCCCAATATACTAATCAACAACAACACTTGGGTTTACCCCCAAACTATTAACCAATAATAGCACTTGGGCTTCCAAACCCCAACCAGACAATAGCAGACAAAGAAACCCTATACCTGAGCTCCTAACACCCTAGGGTCTAAAGCACAAGCACGCCCTACAGATGCTATCGCAATTAAAACTAATACGAATAGAAGGGAAATCCAACAGCTGACGATGATCTTGCTGCAAAATCAGAAGATTCGGCAGTTGCATAGAAGTCTTGAACTTGGAGAAATCCGACTGAGAACTGAACCTTGGCACAAGGTTTTTTTGTCGCGAGGTTCCACTCTCCCCCACTTGAGATATGATAGAATCTGACAACTTCACAATCCTTCGATACTCAGACTAACTTGAACTTTACCAATTGATTCCAACCACATATATCTTGTTACACAAGAGAATCTAAACCCACACAACATTCATAAATCCCAATACACATACAATCTGATGATAAAGACAGTTAATCCATTCATAAAAAGAAATCAAATTCCACTGAGCTAACTAAGATAATTCCATTCAGCTGATCATCATATATTACCACTGAATTTCGAAACATAAACAGAACACGCAGATGAATACTATCATTTCAACAATCAACTAAATAGAAGAACTAATAACTCAAAACTTGGTCCCCGAAACTCCCGTTTTCCCATGATGACCGTCGCGTGACTGCCAAGCTAGGGGTGTAGGGTCCAAAACCTCCCCAAAAAACAAGAAAGGGACAAAGAACTCTGATGTGGCCCTCCTGGTTGTAATGGAAACAAATATGTGAACTCCGCCTACAATCCCTACCAAAACGACCATCCTCGCCACATTTGCGACATAGAAAAGATTGGTACCTCCCCTCGGCTGATTTTGAACTCTGTCCGACGGAATTAAACCGCTTTGTTGCATGCTGTGACAGAACAGGATCCTGCCTTAGCTCCCTAGTCTAAATCTCCATCTCGTTCTCTCGTCTCCATGCAACATCCTGGAGCTCGGAGAGAGTACTATAATGTTGGGTGGACACAAACTGTCGGATATCAGTCTTGAGCATACTCAAGTATCGCGACATCTGCGCCTGCTCTGAAATGGCATACTTAGTGTAGAAAAGAGCTCTCTCCGCAAACATTTTGATGATCTCCGTCACCAACTTAGGCGTCTGCTTGAGCGACAGGTAATCTTGTGCCAGTCGTTCCCGCTCCACAAAAGGAACATCCTCCGCTCGAAACATCTTAAAAACCTGCTCCCAAGTCACTGCGGCTCGCTCTGCATGCGAAAAGTTCTAGGTCACAAACTTCCACCAATCCTTCGCCTCCCAGCGAAGAAGATTTAACACAAATTTCACGTTCTGACCCTCAGGACATGAACACATGAAGAAACAGCCCTCCACGTTAGAACTCCATCTCGAAGCGATGATCGGGTCCCTATCGCCTCTGAACTCTGTAGGCTTCATGTAATTGAACTCTCGGTACAGCATCTCCTGATTCTCTGAGATCCAGCAAAGGAGACGGCTACTATGGCTACGACAGTAGCTACCTACGGGATGGCGGCATAGCACCGGTCAAACTCCTTGATCAACGCGGTCTTCACCCACCTAAACAACTCCGGAATCGCCTCCCTGAATGCCTCCACCGTTTTGGCAGTGATGATCTCACGAATCTCCTCCTCACTCATACCTGATATCCTAGTGCCACCAGCACCTGATCCTGGATCTCCAAAAGCCTCCATACTGAAAATATACCATAGAAAGATTAGATATCAACATAGTGCTCAACACACCAAGACAGCCTCTTATTAGTTCCTTAATAGCCCCGAGATTCCTCCTGAATCTCATATGGATCTTGTACTTTTTAGTAGTACAAGCCCATATTACCTTCCACACATATCCATAGTTGATTCAGAATTCCTCCCAAGGTCCTAAGGCACTGCACTAGACCATTCCTAGGTGTGCTAACACCCACCTGCTACCACGAGCTACAACTAACTTCCTAGATACTCCTCCTAGTATTACCTTTAGTCCAGCACTATTGGTTGCTTTTGTGCATGCTTGTTGTACACAATACGTGGTCGGATAGACTGGCGAATAATCGACTCCGCCCTAAGTCCACAACCAAACAAGGAATGAAAAGTAAGGCTAATTCGATCATTCTAAAACTATATAATCCCGACCATATACAACTAATCAACATACAGTCAGCAATCACACAGTCAAAAGCATATATGAGGCAAGCAACTCACTATATCATAACGCATTACAAAAATCAGGCATCACTATCCAACAGTTCTTAAAAGAACCTTAGCTCATCCACTAGCATGCTTCTCTAACAGTTCACATGTCAACAAAACCAAAAACTCAGCACACACACACACACAAACACACACACACACACACACACACACATATATATATATATATATATATATATATATATATATATATAGGATATAGATCCGGTAAGAAAATTTTTTTGGTAGAAAGGTAAGAATTTTTTTTACATATTTTTTTGACGAACAAAATAAATGAATCACTAGATGATTCATTTGTAAGATGATTCACAAGAAAAAAATTCCCAAAAAAACATCTTCATGATGCATTTTTAAGTAAATTAAGAAAAAATTCATTTTTATGACAATTTTAGTGATTAACAACAAAATTATTGTATAAATGAATCATCAAGATGTATTTTTGAGAATTTTTTCTTGTGAATCATCTTACAAATGAATCATCTAATGATTCATTTTGTTTTTTCGCTAAAAAAATATGTAGAAAAAAAACTTCTTACCTTCCTACCAAAATTTTCCTTCTTATTTGATCTTGACTCTCTCTCTCTCTCTCTCTATATATATATATATATATATATATATATATATATATATATATATATATATATATATATATATATATATATATATAACAAGTATGGATATTTTAGGAACCACTCTCCTGTTGGGGCTCTAGCTGACTGTACACACCGCATCTTCCTGTAAAACCAAATTTAAGTCAAGGCCCACGTTCCCGATCCCGAGGCAACAATCAAAGAAGCATATTTTATATTTACTGATTTTTAACCTACTTTTATACTTTTTGGTTTCAATCTTTTTCATTTTATTTATTAATTTATTAAGATGGGAAAATGACACAAATGTCCTACGAATTTTTTAGGGTTGACCATTTAAGTCCCTAAATTAATTTTGTAGCTTTATATGGGCACAAAATGATGAGAAACCTGTGTTTTTAGTCCCCATTACCTGAAGTAGCAGGTTTAGTGTGCCATATGTACATAGTCAGCCAAATAGTCAAACTTAAAGGGTTTAGTGTGCCACATGTACAATCTTTGATGCTCCTTTGTCTATTTTCGAATCTATTTTCTAATTATAAAGCGTTTTGAGATCTTCCTCTAAACATGTATGTATTCCTCGGGACTTTTACTCACATTTCGCCGTTATTAGTACCTTCATCATCAAAGGACAACGACCTTGCTGAATTTCCTTGGCCTGAGACCCGATCATTCGGATTCTGGTTGAGGGGTGATTTGTGGTTTGTTCCTAGGTCCTCCTCCAATTGAAGAACTTATGTGGTTTTTTTCTTCTCTAACCGGGGCTTCTACAAGGAATGTGTGACCCTTGTAAATGGTTTCTTCAATTGGGGTTTCTACAAGACCTCCGTCTTCATCTTCGTCTTCTTGATTAGACCCATTATTTGGATATGAAGAGTAACAATTTGAAACTTTAGGACCAAAATTTAGGCTTGATTTCATGTTATGTTTGGTGGAACTGGTGGCTAATGTTACCAGATTCTGAACTGCAGAAGGCTTAAATCGAAGTCCATGACCCGAATTCAAATTCTTAGGGTTGTGGATTTCTAAATCGATTTGGAGATTACCAGGTTCGGTGTCATACCCGTTTTCCATAGCTTCCATGGCTTCGAAGAAGAACCAGGAAGAGAAGAATCACTCGTCGGAGAAGGCGGAAGGACGGTGCTTCTCGGCTCGGTGGCATTGAAGGAGCTTCTCCATCCTGATATATCACTAAATCGGTTTCATTGAAGAGATAGTGATGTCAAAACTAACAAAATTGTTTAGCGATGCATAATGGGTGAGGGAGTGCTTTAATGACGAAGGTTTCTTGGTCAATGCGACAGTCAACATATATGTGGTGAGCTGGCAAAACTGTTACCGGTTTACCCCTTCAAAACTGAAAAAATGAACTTAATCGACCGGACAAATATCAGTTCATTCCTTTATAAAGCCACATAATTAATTTATGGACTTAAACGATCATCCCGAAAAAATTCGTAGGGCATTTGTGGCATTTTCCCTATTAAGATAGATTCTCTAAACAATCAAACGATTGAGATCTAGTTTTTTTTTAACAATCAAACAATTGAGATCTAGTTATTAGAGCTTCAAACAATATAAACGATTTCAAACCCTATACCTTATAACTTATTTTATTATATATATAAATATAAATAATTTTCTAATTTTTATTATTCGATGTCATATAATAATCATTATACAAACATACATCTTTAACACCCACTTTCATATGCATTCAACCCTACTTTAAAAGAGTCGTGAGTTGGATATGAACCTAATAATAATATGAAAACCAACAACAAATAGAATGGTCATTTCAATAACCTTCAAAGCACTTTTCATATGCATCTCTTTCTCCAACACTTGAAACACACATTCTATGACTTTGACAAGTCATATATAATCACTTGTGCTACTCAAAAACCATGTGATATGCTTAATTTTATTTTCGGGACCTTCAAAATCATATTAGAAGGTAAATAAACTCGAAAGGTGAATCAATAATTCAATATTTTACCATCCACTTATTCTATATACATAAATTAGGAATATAATACAGATACAACCACAGATTTAAAATTAAAAGCTTTTAAGTTAATCTAAACAAATTTTATGTCAAATTTATTAATGATTATACATTATAGAAAAAAATACATATTAACTATCAACAAGACCCCTCATGTTTGGTTTGAACTTTAAACTATGACACGCATATTGACATGTTTGTTATAAGGAATTATCATCGACAAAGTTTCCATATGTCAATCGCAATGTTTTCTTTGGCTTATAAATGAGTACTACCTAGTACCCATCGAAAGAGACTAATCATAAACAAATATCTAACCACTCATCATAGTCGTTTCTCATTATAATAAGAAAATATATGAATATCCGGTATATTATGTTTGAAGAACACTGATAGGTTGAAGTTGGTAAGAATATGATCTTGTATTTACTTGTTTGTCTATCTGAATAAAAATAAACGAACCTTTGATTGAATAAATAACACGAATCCAAAATATTAATTAAAAAATATACATTAACTTTTTTCTTTTGTTTTTTTGGGATTGGCAATGTGAAAGGTTAAACCTAAGATCCATTTTATGACTGCAAGAGATTAAGTCATAGATTGTGTCACCCAAAAGATGGATTGCTTTCATGATTTCATATGTATTTTGAAAAATGAACATTCACTTTGCTTTAGACAAAAACAAAATTATCTTTTGACTTTTTTTTCCATGCATGTTTGCACTCCGGTACTTTCCTTCTTGTTCAAGCAATCGGTTTGCAATTTGCAACCTTTTAAGTTAATCTTTAATGTAAAAAATTACCATCAAAAACTAATATTTATGAGTCTGGGAAAATTTTCAATTGAGAAACACAAAAAGATGCAGGGTAAGAAACGATCATTCACATTTGAGACATCAAACAATAATCATTGACATTCATTATTCACATAACTAGAAGAAGGGAAATTGGATCTATCTTGAACAATAACCAACAAGTCGGAGCAAGGACGGACCCAAGATTTCGTAGTAGGTGTTGCCGGTGGTACATTTTTCCTTTTACGTAGTGGCACAAATATTGAAAAAACGAAAAAATTGAAAATTTTTACACTGTATCCGAAAAAATAAGGGGTTGTCGGTGCCACTAGGGGCACCATAGTGGAACCGTCCCTGAGTCGGAGTTGATCGAGATTTGTCGCCTTTGAACAAAGACACCATTGATTCTGGCCAGGAGGTTCTAGAAAACGTTGTCGATGATTTTAATAATCCATGCCTCTCTTTAGAATCTCAACCAAATAATTACACTACAACCTTTACGACACTTCTTTCGTCTGATACGACAAAGAGCGCAAGACCTCGTCTTAAATCACCCTTCTAAGTCATCCTCCTTAACTATAATTAAAAGAATTTATTCAGGCTTCTAAAGGACCAAAAATACCCAAACCAACCTTCAAATTTTCACACTTTTATCATAATTCCACCTCTTATTCTCATGTTGAACCTCCGGTATTATATAGATAGGGAGACTACTTATACAATTATGGTCGGTGAATTTGTGGGTTTTTGGCTCGATGGAACATATCCAGAACAAGTTTGACAACTAAATAAATGACATGGATGTTTTGTTTGATATATTTAAGCGTATTGGGGTTTCCATCAAGAAAGAAGCACCTGTGAATTTATTGACTGACCCGACAGAAGGAAGGTCAACCCTTAGAGCGGTTGATGTTTTGATTTTTGGATGGGTTAGAGGGAAACACGCCTGCGTCGACCTTACATTGGTATCCCCTCTCGTGAGCTTGAGGTTTGGGGGTTTCAAGGTGGGACAGACTATTTTAAAAGCTACTACATGCAAGGTAATAAAACATGAGAAACCGTGAATAGAAAATCAAAAGTGTTCATACCATTTGCGTTTGATACGTTTGGTTTCCTCGTGTCGGGTGCGGTGGAACTTATTAATAGAGTACAACGGATCATGCTTAGCAATGTTATATCCTCATATTTATGGATGTAGTTTTCAAAAGAACTGACTTTACCACACAAATATGTTTAGCAGCGCAACTTGTTACCCGTTTGCCTTCACACTCAATATACTGTGATAACTAAATTTTACAAATGAATGAAAAAAAATATTATATAAAAAATGGTGAGGATCAATTTTTCTAGTGAATCTATTAACTCTAAACATCAAAGGAGCGGGAAATTCCTCAAAATGAAATGGGTTTGAAGAAAAAAAAACATGCTAATTTTATTTTATTGCAATTCAAGAGGCTCAATTTGTAGATCCATGTAATCTAAAATCAGAAACTACTAGGACTAATGGTAGAGCTTCAATCTTTTATTTGGGGGGGGGGGGGGGGGGGTTGGGGGAGGGGGGATATAATTTCTATAAAAATTGGTGAACAGGGGGGCCGTAGTCAAAATTTTATATTTTTGGGCGTATAAAATTAAAGTATAGGGACTACTTCTAACAAAAAATCAGGACTTCTCACCTTTCAATTTCGAATGTGTTGATGTCGATGGGAGATCCAGAGGCTTATTTTGTATGTGTGTGTGTGTGTTTGGGGGGGGGGGGTCATAAATCTTCAAGAAGAAACGTATATTTAAGTCCAAAAACTTCTTGGCCATAATTAGGTACATTGTTTGTATTTGTAAATATATGTGGAGCATAATATTGTCTCTCCAAAAGATCCCTTATGGAGAGAATGGAGACTCCAACATATATAGCCACTTATAAAACCGTGTCGCACCGATGTAGGATACACAAACACTCCCCCTCAGATTCAGAGGCTCGGTGAGGATAAACAGGGATGTGCTGAGCCATAGAGGTGCGGGACGCCGGCTCTGATACCATGTAAATATATGTGGAGCCTAATATTATCTCTCCATAAAATCCCTTGTGGAGAGAAGGGAGACTCCAACATATATAATGACTTACAAGACCGTGTCGCACCGACGTGAGATACACTAATAGTATTGATTCTTACTTGATTATAGTATACATATATGCTCCTCAACCTCGTGTAGTAGAAAAAACCTTTAATGAAACCTACTTAATCTTAAAAATTCCAACTTCATTTCAAGGATTTTCCTTAGTGATTTTAACAAGAACATGACTAATGAAAACAAACTAATACATCCTTTTATGAGATTGGGATAAACATTTCAACACTTTCATAACTAATACAAATCTATTCGAATACCAACATGGAGGAAGAATAAAGCCAAACAGGAAGTAAAACAATAGTATGTTACCTAAACTCGCAAGTATCTTATTGAAGAAACTTATAACTCAAAACTCCAATAATAAATGTGTTTACAGGATCCTATCGGTTTTATACTAAACATAAAACACCTTAGTATTCAACTAGGATTTTAGACAGATAAACACATAAACTTTCCTTATTGCTCAGGGAAACTTAGGAAGACATGGAAAACACTCCAAGATAACATAATCACGACCAAATCACACAAATTAGCCACCATTGGTCTCAGACAATTCGCCAACAATCACCCCCTGAATTTCTGAAATACTGGATTCTTTGACGGAGTAATTATTGATTTTCGTCTATTCAAATATGCACCTTCTGTTTCTTCATTCCTGCCAGCTCAGCCAATAACTCCCTTAGTTAAATTATCTGGCACGCAACTGCAGTGGTTGTCATAAATTCAGCTTCACACGAAGATAAGGCTACAATGTCTTGTTTTTGAGATCACCAAGTGATAGGAGAGTTTCCAAGAAAAAAGACATGTCCCGTTGTACTTCGCCCATCATCTACATCAACATTCTGACTGTTATCACTGTAACCTAGTAATTTCAAATCTTCACATCGCTTGTATATTACCCTAATGGAAGTTTTCCCACATAGATAACGAAGAATTGCTTAATGGCGTGAGTATGAGTTTCTCTTGGACTTTGCATATAATGGTTGACTACCCCAACTGAATATGCTAAGTTTAGATGTGTATGCAATAGATAACCTAAGTATCCCACTAGTTTTCGATAATGGGTAGCTTCCACTTCCAGATCGTCTTCAGCTTTTGACAACTTTAGTCATGCATCCATTGGACATTGAGTTGCATTCCACCCTGCAT